ACAGTTAATTTAAACTAAGTGTTAAAATAAAAGCAATAACACTGAGAATAAATTAATGAACTACAATTAACTATATTTACAATAAGTGGTTTGGTTGGAAACACCTATTCCCTGCACTGATAAAATAAAACCTGCATTCTGCAAAAGCTGAAATAAGTTAAATGAAGATGCTTTTAACAAGGTTATTACTTAAGCAGTGACAGGTTTACAGATTTTAGCACCATTGGGTTTTCACAGGAGCTGCAGCAAGTGCTAAAATAACACACACCTTCAGGTTCATTAAATTCACCAGTGTGATGAAATAACTGATATTTTTCTATATTACTATAGTGCCTCAAAGAATTGGCTATAAATAAGATACACTAATAACAACTGTTTGCAGTGCTAAAACAATAAAATAATTCTTCCAGGCTTATATGCAAAGGAAGAAATAAGTGTAAGGCAGACTGTTAGCAGAGTTATATCTGGTGGCTTTAATTCTACTGGTGCCATGCCTTCAGCCATTTACTTATCATAGAAATGCCCTATAAAATGTTTTATCACTCATTGTGGCAGGAAGAAATTTGTTTAAAGGCTACATAAAGAGGGGGCTCCTGTCCTGAAATGCTCTCTAATCTGGTGTTTATTGGAGCATTTCTGAAGCCCAGCTTATGCAAAGAACTGATTTTTAAAAAGGAGCATTTCTGATGGCAGTAAAACCCACATGATGCCCTGTTTGGGAAAGAACCAATGCTGGGGGAAAAGAAGCAGATTTCTAATAAATCAATGGAGTGTGGCCTTTGGAGACCTGGGAGGCATATGGACAGTAATAGAGTATCCCAGGTTGTTCCGTGAACGATTCCATCTGGACGAGGGCTCGGTGTTATTTGCAGCCTCCTTCTCCCCTAAAACACCTCCAATCTGCCCCGCAGCCCCTCTCTCAAATGTCAGACCACCTGGGATCCGCAGCTGTCGGGCTGAAAGCGGAGCTGCCGGGGCGGCCACGGCCCCGCCGCCGTCGGGGGGAGCCGGGGCTGGTGTCGAACACTCAGCTCCCTTTTATGTAAAAGTATGGGTTTAATGGCTTTTATATAGGCTGTCCCATTGCCAGTAGGACAAAGGGGAATGGCTTTAGGATGGAGGTCAGGTTTGGGTTAGACATTAGGAAGAAATTTGTCGCTCAGAGGGTGGGGAGGCCCTGGCACAGGTTGCCCAAAGAAGGTGGGTCTGTCCCATCCCTGGAAGTGTTCTAGTCCAGCTTGGATGGGGCTTGGAGCAACTTGTTCTGGTGGAAGGCGTCCCTGCCCATGGCAGGAGGTTGGAATTGGATGAGTTTTAATGTCCCTTCCACCCCAATCTGTTCTGTGATGTCGCTATAGGACACGAGAAAGCACAACGCGAGCTACCTGCCACCTTGCAAGGCAAAAAAGCAAGTTTATTTTCTGACTCTAACTTTTATACTTCTCTAAAGGTGACAGTGGATTGGAGAGTGAATGGGCCACCTCTCCAAAGACATTGGACAAAGCACTAGTATATCAAGTCTCTCCACCCCCATGGAGGAATGTAAAACAACACGTTATTTACAGAAACTGTGTGGGAAAGTTTCCCAATAGAATGTAAACTCAGAAGGCTTTAGAAAACTCGAGAATCAGGGCGACACTGTGATGCCATGATTCTCTATATATGTGTGTGCATGTGTGTATATATAAATATATATATTAACACATATGTTAATATATATATTTATATATATATATTGCACACCTAAGCAGTTGGAATAATTGCAGCACCTGGGTTTGGTCTCCATGTGGATACTGTTCCCTCCATGCTAATGAAGAGATAGAGTCACTCTGTTGCAGTCAGAGGGTCTAAACCACAAATAAATAGGGTTAATCAACCCCATGATGTCACAGGCTTGCTGCAATTTTGCAATGCTGTATCCCTCCTCTGAGCAATTTTCAGTTTTGTTCTCTGGTAGAATCACAGAATCACAGACTGGTTTAGGTTGGAAGGGACCTTAAACTCACCTCGTTCCACTCCCTGCCATGGCCAGGGACACCTTCCTCTAGACCGGGTTGCTCCAAGCCCTGTCCAACCTGGCCTCGAGCAAAAGTTATGCAACATGGTTTGGGGTGGGTTTGGCAGTGTTAGATTAACAGCTGGGTTTGATGATTTTAGAGGGTTTTTCCATCCTGACAATTCTGTGACTCTGTGATCTGTAAGCTGCTGTTTGCTCACCCTTAGGGAAGAGTGTGCAGCCCACCATGCACTGCTGAGTGAAGGAACTTCAGGATGCACATCTCAGGTTAACAAGATATGCAGACCACATTGCACCTAGGCAAAAACCTTTTAATTTCTCCACTTTGTTTATAACCCCCTTGTAACCTCTCCCTAAGAAGAGCAGTAGGACCATTTTATTGGTGAATATGCAGAGCCAAAGCAATACTGAACGATTCTGAGGCCTTTGACACAAAAGAGCTGTTACTGGCCCATAAATGAAAAAGATGTTTTTCATTACAAGTCCTTTATCTCAGGAGTTTCCCTCCCACCTGGAATTTACACAGCTCACACTCACCAATCTTTTGGAGTTTTTAATCCATCTAGATACTTTGTAAACGGCATGAAACTTTGGGAGCGAGTGGGGTTTGAGTGCCTGGTATTATTAATAATTTATGCTTCATGCGAGAAGAAAATTGATCCAAAGCATCCTGGAGAGGCCAATCCATGCTGCCTCTGTGATCAGCTGAGACTCAAATTAAATGTGAGGAATGAATGGAAATATATTGTGGAGAAAAGCTGCACAGACCCATTCCAAGCCAGGAGGTGTAGAGCTGGCGAGGGCTGTCAAAGGGAAAGTGCACGGTGTCCTTTGAAGCCTGGTCATGGAGACAAGGATGTGGGAAAAGATCCTGCAGCAAAAAGTGGTCAAAAGTTCTTAAGAAGAGGACGAGGGCAGATCTGTTTCCTGAAGGCAGCACTCCAGATCAAAGAGCTCTTTGTGGAAATGTTCAAAAACAACCCAAACCATCTCATCCTGGGTTAAAGATGAGCTCCAGCACCTGGGGCTGGATGGGAGGTCAAAGGAGGAACACTGGGGGACATCAGTAGATGCTGAAGCTGTACTGGAGATACAAGATGGACCTGTTGTGTCAAAGGTAAGAGTTCATATTTTCTCCTAAGAAAGAAAAATGTTCAGAAAATAATCCCTAATAGAATTTGTGAAGCGTTTGCTGAGCTTTATTTTCACCCTGGGTACACTGATACATCCTTTGTTTCTCTTAGCTGTTCTTGTGTTTAAAGTAACTTCTGCTAGAAGTCACACGTATCTGACCCAGAAATACAAAAATTTCACAGTCTCTGAGGAAATGTGCTGAAGGGAGGTTTTCTGGAGCTTTTCAGCTGGGAATGAAGCCTCCTGCCCATTTGTTTGCCACAGAGGGAGCACAGGAGAAGGACGAAGCGCTGGAGTGAAGGTGGTACAGAGGTCACTGCAGGCACCTGCTGTTTCTGGAAGTTTCTGTTTTGAGGTATGTGCTGACTTTGGACACGGACTGGTAGAATTTTTATCAGATATTTTTCCTATATGTTTTAATTGCTAACATGAGTAAGCATGTAAATGAATGCTGGAGGTACTTTTTGTCTTTGTAAGTGTGAACTGTATAAATAAATGAATCTACATATTTATATGTCCTTATCAGTCTTGATACCCTACTTGTTAATGTGATAGTGTCATCTAAATTGTGTCATACTTGGTTCAGGACAGATCCATTAAGTGTTCTTTCTGCCCTGGCAAATGAGCACCTATTTCAGTGAGGTAAATCCAGAATAAATCCTTTGATCAGGGGAATCAGGTTCTTTTGCCAGTCCTGCTTGAAAATACTGAGAAATGCTTATATATACTCAAAGGAAAATGAGATCTCTGACTCTGAAAAATGCAGAGAATTAATCTGGATTAATGGACCAGATTAATTGAACTACATGTTTGTACAAATTATCTTCTGTGTTCTAAAATCCTGTAATCATGGAATGGTTTGGGTTCAAGGCACCTCAAAGATCTTCTTGTTCTACCCCCTGCCATGAACATGGAAACCTCCCAGTATCCCAGGTTGCTTCAAGCCCTGTCCAACCTGGCCTTGGACACTTCCAAGGATCCAGGGGCAGCCACAGCTTCTCTGGGCACCCTGTGCCAAGACCTCACCATCGTCACAGGGAAGAATTCAGTATGGTATGTTGTGGTCCAAAAATGCAACTGCTCTGGTCCTTGACACACAAAATGGTTTGACACGTGTCAAATCCATTGTAGACACCCTGCAAGCATCACACGCTGAGCATGAAGAGCTGTTCTGCTCTGAACACACCTGGATGAAGCATCCATCCAGGTCACTGCATCCCTGTTCATCCCTCTGCGCCCGTGGCGTCGGAGCGCGAGGAGCAAACACAGCCTGAGGGCAGTGACCTGTCAGAGAAATAAACTGCCACCCTGGATGTTCAGTCCTTGGCTGCTCTGTGGAGATGCTGGTCATAGTGCCAAGTTTAAAGCTGTTTAATGGTTTGTCTCTTTGCTGTTGAAACTGAAGTAGGAGTGGGAACACATCGGCTTCGGCCAACCAGTAATCGGTGCTTGAAGCACCAAAATACTTTTTGGCCACTGTTCATTAATTTTCTCTAAATTCCAAGGGGAAGATGTCAAATTTTTACCTTTTTATTTTTTTCCTTCCTTGCAGGTCCAGTGCCTTCTGCAGCTTTTGCAGAGTGCCAGGCCCACAATCTGGTTTAGCAAAGGCCCCTAGTCCACATCCCTCTCTCATGGGGCCCACATGAAAATCAGGAGTTTGAGAAGCAGAGTCAAGGTTTGGAACCATCAAATCCTAGAAGGGTTTGGGTTGGAAGTGACCTTAAAGATTATCTCATTCCACCCCCTGCCATGGGCAGGGACGCCTTCCACTGTCCCAGGCTGCTCCAAGACGTGTCCAGCCTGGCCTTGGACTTTTCCAGGGATCCAGGGGCAGCCACAGCTCCTCTGGGCACCCTGTGCCAGCCCCTCCCCACCCTCACAGGGAAGAATTTCTTCCTAATATCCCATCTAACCCTGCTCTGCATCAGTGATGTATTTTTCCTTCATGACATCACTGTACTAAGTCTGCTGGAGTTTTTAGGCACATTTAAATTGTGCATAATTTAATCCTCAAAAAACATGCAGAGATCTTCTCCATTCCCTCTTTTATTGTTTTGCTGAAGGTTTATCACATCTCCATAAATCCAACATTCAAATAACCTTCAGGAAGGGAATGCTGGATCTTGGGTGAGAGTCTGGAGGTCTCTGCAGTAGTTTTGCACAAGTTGTCTAGAAAAAGGACAAAGTCTCCTGGTTGAGAATTTGTGGCATGAAGGTCTGAGTAAGAGGAACTGTACTTCCCATTGCATCACTGATGTATCAGCCCAGAGCTTTCCCACATCTCATAAGCTGCTTTGAGCCCGTGCAGTTAGCAGAGTGGGGGAAAAAAAGGAATTGAAGAAGCAAAAATAAATATTAAAGCACATAAGAATGAAATATCACCTATTCAAATAGCAATTATGCCGTTGAAAACAAGATCACCACACCTGTACAAGAAAAGACAACCAAGCCTAAAACATCTGTTTGGATCCACCTGCCAAGCACCTGTTCCTCTGTTTCAATGCCATTTGATTGCTGGAGATGTAGAGGCTCTTGTGAGGTAATGAGTGATTTTACATTATGCATGATTGAAAACAGGTGTTCTAATGCTGTACAATTCTATGCATGAATAATTCAGTTTGTTTAGAGCAAGATCTTTAAAAGAAATATGGTCTTTATTTTTTTTTTATAAATATTAAGGTTATTCTCTGTAATGTATGGTGGATGGTCTTTTCAGCAGGCTTGCTGATGACCATTTTTGTATAATTTTATGGGTAGGAAATAACACCGTGAAAGGTAAAAAAAATAATTATACCTAAAGCACATAAGCAATGAAAATTGAAAGCTTTCTTTAGCAAGGAGGGGGGAAAAAAACCTGTCAGTGTTCTAAGGGGGAAAGCCAGATGACTTTTGGCAAAGCCTGCTTCTCACCACTAACAAAACCGCCCAAGAGCTTAATTATAGAGAGGGGTGAATGTGCCTCAGGGATAAGTAAGTAGCTAGTCCATCTCTTGGTCTGAATTCCAGCTGAGTCTGAATACGTTTAAGAATTTGTTGGGTTTTTTTCTCTCTCTTTTTCCTCATGATTATGAAAAGGTTTCTTGCACAGTTGTACGCTTTGTGCTGATGGAAGATGCTGCAGACTCAGGTCTTTACCCACAGACTAGTTTCCATGCTGGGAACTGCAGGATAATTTAGCCCATGCTCCTCATCATGGAGAATTCAGCAGCTGCTTGGGATCATCTCCCAGAGAGGAAGGAGATGTGGAAGTCAAACGGAGAGGTGCAGCATCCCCTCTGCCTCTTCCCAAGGTAAGCAGTGCAGCTGGAACGGTTTCAGCCATTCCTGGGATGAGAGGAACTGGAGCAGCCAAAGGTTTTCCTGCCACAATGTGTGTCTCCTCTCCTCGTTCCCTCAGCCAGGGATGTAATTCTGCTCAGCAGGTTTAGTTTGGCAACAAGGTTAGTGACTGTTGTGGTGTTAGTTTTTTTATTATGGGAGTCTTCTGTGGTGTGCAATGAGGAATATTGGTGAGGGTGAAGGGAGTGGAGAAACTGAGAGTGCACAGAGGATTTCAGACCTTCCAGATCTTCCTGTCCACTGAAGTTGATGTGACAATGATGTGGGAAAGGAGTAGAAGAGCAGAAGGAAAATGAAATTATTGATTTGCAAGGAGGAAGGAACAAAGGTCTCCCTCAGGTGGTAGATGCCTCATCCCTGGAAACATCAAAGGCCAGTTTGGACAGGGCTGTGAGCAAACTGGCCAAGCTGAAGATGTCCCTGTTCAATATAGGGGAGTTGGACTGGATGGCCTTTGAAGGTCCCTTCTAACCCAAACCTTTCCATGAAAGAAAAGAGGCTGAAAGCCATTATTAAAAGTTGCTGTAGTTCCCTGTGTTAATTAAAAAAATGCAAGAGCACCAATTTTTTGTTGCTCATGTATAACCTGAGCACTGGTTTGTATCCAGTGGCCGTAGAGGTGGCTGTAATAAACTTCAACACATTCTGTGGGTTCAGGAAAAAAAAAAGAGGAAATTCAAGAATCCAAAACATGCAGGTGTGACCCAGGACCTCACTGGGTGAACAGAGGCAGCTCAAACTGCTCAAACTGTGGCCCACACTGCTCAAGGGACACCAGGCCAGAGTTCCTTCAGGCCCTAAATGCAAAGGTTCTGTGGCCAAACCTGTCTGAGCTGCAGACATTTAGGGGTTTAGCTGAAGCAAATCTGTAATCTTTCAGTATTTTATATACAGTAAGTTACAGGAGACTGTAAATTAGAGTTTATAATACCCTATCCATTCAGCTACTGACAAAGTATCTAAGGTAATCTGACCTGCTTCACAGACCATGAGAAAAATCCTCATGTAAAGTGAAAGAGATGAATTACAGAGGGGTAGAGGAATTTGTCTCAACTCAGATATTGGGTTAATTCCCACGTCAGGCAAAATAATGTTTCACCAGGCTTTACTTCAATAAAGTTGGGGAGGTTTAATAGATGCAGCCCTAGAGGGCAAGGGATAAATTCTGCTCCCTTGGAGCCAATGACCACGCCACCAAAAACATGGGTAGGAATCAAAGTGAAGGGAATGAGGGAAGAGTTTTCTCAGAGAAGAAAAACAGCAAGGACAAAATATTGTAGGGAAAAAGGGGTGGGGTTTTCTTTTCTGAAATTAGAAGAAAGGGGAACACATCCTGGTACTCTGAGTTCCTGCAATAAGGAAAGTATTTTCCCTTTCACTGGGAATTATTCTCCTCTTTAATAATAAGAAAATAAATCTCATATTTTTTAAAATGTGGGATGAGCAGGGAAATGAAAAAGGGGTGATGTTGCATCTGCTGGGGTTGAAGATGCCTGGGCTTCTGAGAGTTTATCTGTTCTGGTGCAGTTGATGGAAATTCACAGGTCCCACTGGGCAGCTGTGAGAAAGGCAGGACATTCCTGCTCCTTCCTGCCTCCTTCTCACCAGTTTGCAATCGTGAGAGATACTGAAGGGTTCCTTCAGCTTGGTGGAGGAATTTCCTGTGGCTCTGCAGCTCTTTCCCTGCCCCCTCTCCCCTTTTCCAGTAACAGCTGTTTTATAGAACACCTTATCTGATTGTTTTAAAATTAATTTAAGGTGGTTTTCTGTTTTCTGCTTTAAATCCTGCACATTGCTCTCCCAGAAACACATCCTGCTCTTACCCCTGTAAGAGAAAGCAGCAGTAAGAGAAAGCTCCAGTAGCTCCTCTACCACTTTATTAACTATTTCCATTCCCTTTCTGGGTACTGAAGTGACCCTTTTGTCCTTGCAGTTGAGTCCTGAGAGGGCAAAGTGTGTCTTGGTCATGTTCTGTGGGTCAGGTCAGGTGCCTGCAAGCAGGAAAGAAAGTTTGGCTTTCTACCTTCATTCCTTTACTGCATGGTGCCAGAAGGAAACAGAATCTTCCAGAAACACATCCCAAAGAAGACGATCAGAGCTTCTCTTTCGCAAGGACACCTGTGTGATTGAGGGCTGTTAGGAGGTTTCCAGATGAGGCACTGAAAGATGAATGTGGAGCTCCCTGATATCTGTGCTGGAGATGGAAACATTTAGTTTCTGAAACCTTTTGATGGACTCAGATGGAAGCTGTTCCATAAATCAAAAGTATGTATATTTACCTTTTCTATATACACCTTCTGTGATTTATTAGGTAACTGTTTCTTGTCATTGTGACCCTCCAAATTATTTGACTTTGGTCTCCTTTCAAGAATTAACCAGGCTATGATGAATTATGGAATCAGAGAATGGTTTGAGTCAGAAAGGACCTTAAAGCTCCTCTCATTCCACACCCCTGCCATGGGCAGGGACACCTCCCACTGTCCCAGGGTGCTCCAAACCCCATCCAGCCTGGACTTGGACACTTCCAAGGATCCAGGGGCAGCCACAGCTTCTCTGGACAATGTGCCAGGGTCTCAGCACCCTCAAAGGGAAGAATTTCTTCTAAATCTCTAATCTAGATCTTCCTTTCTTCAATTTAAAACCAGTTCCCCTGCTCCTATCACTACAGGCCCTTGTAAGAAGTCACTCTCCAACCTTCTGTATGTCCCCTTTGTGTATTGGAATGCTGCTGTGAATATACAGGAACTTTTCCATTGCTTGCTGGGAGATCTGTTCGCCTGATATCTCTGTATCAGAGGTGACAGAACAAGGTCCTTTCTCTAGGTACCAGTAGCCCCATTTCCTAAACTAGTAGTTCACTCCTTCTTACCCACAGTTAAAATCCCGTTGAAACTGTCAAGGGTTGTTTCCACCTCTTTAATTTCATTTTCAAACAAAATCCTTCACTTCTTTGTATGCAGAGGCTGCTGCAGCCTGGATCTCATCTTGTCTTCTAGTAACATCTTCCAGATTTGTTTTAAACTGATTAGACACTGCTGAAGAATCAGCTTCTCTCCCCCGGACAGTACAAAGCCAAGTGTTGACAGAGCTGGCTTGTGGCCATCGGCTCCGCGATGACGCAGCATCGCATCTTTTGACAGCCCCCACTTCGTTTGGGGCACTCTGAAACATTCACACACCCTGAAGAATTAAAATAAAGTAAATTACAGAGTGTCAGGAGACTGCAATTAAAAAAAAAAAAAAAAAAAAGAAGTGTCAGCTTGACCAGAGAGTTGCTTTAATTAAAGGACGTATGCTATACGCTGGAGCGAGGAATAAGAAAGTTATTTCTGCTGTTCTAATGTGGCTGCAGTTTCTATCTGAATTTCGGTTTTGAGAAACAGAAGATTATCTTTTTTATTGGGCTATGGAGAGAAATTATGGGGAATGAGCTGAGTGATTTTCAAATTCTCTCAGTAGGAGTAGGAAAGGAGGGAAATACTTGTCCTTCCTTAACTAAATAGCTTCCAGTGCAGTTTGGAAACAGGGGCACTAATTTCTGGGTCCCAGCACAGCACAGGGATATATTTAAGTCACTGGGATGGTATATATTTCCACCACCTAGATTCTTTTCTGGATGGAAATCATCCTGCCTTTAAGTATGAGGAGAAATACAGAAGGTCACAGTAACAAATACTGTTTCTTGGATTAATTTGTCCCTAAAGGTTAATAAAGCTCATCAAGAAATACATTGAAATGAAGCAAAGTTATCTCTAGCATTTGAGTCTTCCCATCATAGTGTCCTAAGAGATGTCCTGTGGTTTGACACATAATTAATATGTTTATTTATCTTACTTTTTTTTTTTTTTTAACATCCATCACCATAATAGCCAAATACAAACATTTCATCCTGTTTTGTAAAGAGCCTATGGTCCATTTTATGGCAACAGTCACTTTCCCAGCTCCCACCAGTGACACGGAGTAGATGCCTGAAAAAAACCCACCAAATCCCTGAAATTTTCTCACCACTTTTGCTGGAAGCTGTTATGTTTACAAACTTGTGGAAAATGTGCCTCTTTTGCCTCCTTTGAGTGTCATGGGAACACAAGCCGAGGTCTGGTCCAGTAGCACTGCTCTGGGCTGCCTGCTGCTTCTCGGGTCTCTCATCATCCACGAGGTTGTTCCAGAGTCCAGCTCAAAGTTACACTCTGCTTGCCAGCACCCAAGATCCCAAACAATTTTACAATTAACCTGGCTTGAGAGGTAGAATCTGACAATTTTTCAGACAAAGAAAGCTAATATTATTATTACTTATTTACGCTGAAGCATTATAATGTCCTCATTACTCTCATTTTAACTTATGGGATTCCTAAGGAATATTTATTAGAATTATTTGTTTTAGCTTGTGCTGTTTGTAACTCACTTTTTATAGACTTGACTGGTCAGGTAATTTCCACAGTATTGTTTTTGGCTCCCTAACTGGATCTCATCCAAATTTTCAAAGTGCTTCTACAGAGATAATGGAGCACATTCCAGCATCCTGTGAAATGTCAGCTGAAAATCCAATGTTAGATGTGTGGAGATAACCTGGGTAGAGCTGCCAGATGCTGTAATTTCTTGCTTGGGAGTACCAAACACCCTGAAGTTACTAAGGCAGTTCTGCCAAAAGAAGGAAAGGAAATATAAAGGAGAAAATAAGGAGGGTGAGGAAGAAAAAGTGTCCAAACGCTGAAGTTTGATGCTTAAAATGTGGAGTTTACTTCTATTTTGTTATAGGAAAAGCAAATGCAGCACTATTGTTTCACACCAAAGAATGGTAAGGGAGTTGAGGTGAGTAAGAAACTCCCATTGTGAAAAGTATTACATAAGTTTTTTGAGGAAATCCATAAATCCCATATTAAAAAAAGAAGAAGACTACAAATGTAACTTTTGAGTCCAATCACCTGAGAAAAGCACGATGATAAAACCAGAA